ACACACACACACACACACACACACACACACACAAGGTCGACGCTCAAACAAAACATCTTCTGTACCACCACTACCACTACAATCAGTGACATTGTCTGAACTAGAGAATTGAATTGTGCAAAAAAGACAAAGGAAATGTCACAAGGAACGCCATCCGGAATGGTTCAAATTCCAATTCCGTGCCAAGAACGACCAACAATGGCAACCCTGATGTGATATCGTTTGATTTGCAAGCTTTCAGACCATAGTTGATGGCTTGCTAAAATTACTAGTCTTACTGTCCGGCCTTGAAAAAAGGTACAATTATACTCTCCAATAGTTACAATATAAGAGCAGCGAGAAATTGTGTGAAAAACGGACAAAAGTAGCAAGTGAAGAGGGGCATAAAAGATGGCGGACAAGGAGATCGGAGGAGTTGGAGGACGAAGGCGGTGGGATGGATGGAGTAATTAAGAATTGCATAAGGAGATGAGGGAGAAATGGGAGATTAAACAGTGGACGGCGGCAATGATGAATTTGACAACAGCTTACTTACTGACAGACTGACTGACTGACTGAAAAGCCTTCTGGGGTTAGAAATTGAACCCTTGAGGACAGGACCGTGCCTAAGTCCAAATTAATGGTAAAAAAATTAAAGTCTTGATATATTATAAAAGAGAAGACTTCACCGCATCTTTCGATAGTGTACATGACACTCTACCATTAAGTTATAGCGAGAAAAGGAGGAAAACTGTACCGTTTCCCAAAGCAAATATAGACCTAAGTCCACGTTTTGCCATTTTTCTCCGTTCAACGAAAATTGACTTTGGCACAGTCTCAGGTTTTCAATACTGTGCTTTGAATGTGTCCTTTTACTACCCCCTCAGTTCACCTTTCCCCGAGTTTATCTCTTGCTCTGTGGCCAGGTTTTCTTGTGCTGTAGGCTTTTAGCGCACATCGGTTGGTAGACACGCGAGTCAGGCATCCAAACCATTCTTTATTTTCCAATTCGTTATTGAAATGGTATGGTGCCCACACTTTCTCTAATGGCTGAGGTAAAAACCCTGTCTCTTTTTGTTTTGTTTCCAATCTTCCTGGGGCATCTAATTTCACAAGCTATGATGATGCTTTTTGGGGGTTTACCTAAAGTCCAAGTCCAGCACTAATATAGGCTATACTATAAAGGGTGTTACAAAGATATTGCTGACTTGTTTGGCCTTAATTCGGTTGGTACATGGACGGGTCAAGAGTGGGTCTATCTGGTAGTTGACATTGTTTGCATTTTGATTACATAAAAAACATAGAAAGAACTCACAATTTCAACTAATTTCTCCGGTATGAAATGTGGGCAAGGTAGTCAGTCCAATGTTGAAGATTTCGTCGAGAAGGGCGATAACACTGTCTTTTTTTTTTCAAAATCTAGGATTTTTAAAAATTACAATATTATTACCTCCCCTATGACACGTTTTTCGGAAGTACATGTAATTCAAAGACTCAAACATGTTGGGTTTATTCTGTTTCCTTTTTTTTCCAATCTCGACTTACAAACTGACATTCTGTCGCTATTTTGGGGTTATATATTATTCTTTTTAAAAGAAGTATCACTAAAGATATATACAAAACAATAATGAACAATTATACTTAATACGTATTAAAAAGTTCATGCTAAAAAAAAAAATGGCAGGGTGATGACGAAAGGCTATAGTAAATGTTCTCCTACACACACAATCCAACATAAATTTCCATGCTCAAAAAGAGTTATCAGAATCAAAACAAATAACCATATGAACAAATGAAATAAGGAATAAACAAGTTTAGTTTTTTTAAGAATACAATTTTTTTTT